CTTAGCTGTTCCCTTCGTCTGGCAACTCTGCACATGCGCACACTGGGAACAGGCTCCAGCTGTTCTTCTGCCTCACTGAATGTCTGACTCAGAAGGCAGCTGATAACTAGCATACAGTCCTGGCCCCCTCTCTGCCTCCGACACAGAGCCCACCTCAGAGCCTTCCCCAAACTCCAGGAGTGGTCCATCTTCCTCCCCAACCTCCTCACTGTCTGAATCTGCTGCCAGCTCTGCTGATGGGCCACAACAGTTCCTTCCAGGCCTTTGCACTATTTTGGGTAGGGAGGGGGGTCCTTGCGGGGTTTGTGCAGGCTTGTGCATGGTTCTCCCTTTCCCCCCTTTCAGCGCAAACACCAGGAGATCCGAGCCATGAGGAGCCAGCTGAAGAAAATCGAAGATCTCGGGGCAGCTATGGAGGAGGCTCTGATCTTGGATAACAAGTACACCGAGCACAGCACGGTGGGGCTGGCCCAGCAGTGGGACCAACTGGATCAACTCGGCATGAGAATGCAGCACAATCTGGAGCAGCAGATACAGGCCAGGTGGGGGCAGCCACCCTGGAATGGGGGTGGGGTCTGGATAACGACAATAGTCCTTATCCGCTCATTATGATAAATGCAAGGTTTTGAGCTCCCAGCCGGAAGGCTGCAAATTGGCTCAGTTCAAAGAGAGACCTCAGTTTTGGCAAGGCAGTCTTTGTAGCACAAAGCACCATGAGCAAAATCTTCAGAAATACGAACTGTTGTCTCCTACGAACACCACTCCCCTTTCCTTCTATATATTCCCCAACCAGGGAGGGGCCATTCAGCATCCACGGGCTCCTTGTCCTCCATTGTCCCCCTCTCCTATCTGCGCATATGCACATCTGGAACAGGCCCCAGCTGTTCCTCCTCCTCCTCCCTCATCTTAGCCTCCAAAGGCTCTCCGGTATTGGGAAATGTCGGATGGCGCTCGCTCTATCTCTGCGTCTGACGCTGAGCATCTATCAGAGCCTTCCCCAGGCTCCAGAACTGGCCCAAGTTCCTCCCCAACCTCCTCATCGTTCGAATCTGCCACCAGCTCCGCTGACAGCTGGCGGGCCACAGCATGTATTACTTAGCTGGAGCCTCCTTTTGGGAGCTGTGCAGTTTCTGGCAGGTCTTCAAATGTTGGTTGACCCAAAGGTGTTTTCTCAAGAGGCAACTGGACTTTCTGGTTTTTCTTCACGGGGTGTTTTGCTGAAGAAGCTTCATGGATGAGAAGCAAAACGCCTTCAAACAAAAAAACCCACACAGTCCAGTTGCTTCTTGGGGAGGGGGGGGGACACCTTTGGGACAACCCTGACCTGGAGAACTGGGAATCTCCAGAGCCACTCAGGTGGTTGATCAAACAAAACGTTAAACTTGACAAGTATATTTCCCCTTAAGAGGGGAGGGAAAAAACCATCTCTCGGGTTTATTTTCCTCCAGCCCACGGATAAAACAGTTCTCAAACCACCATATTGGGGCAACTGATTTACCGTATTTTTCGGAGTATAAGACGCACCAAGATTTTGAAGAGGCAATTTTTTTAAAAAAAGGTTTTGCACTCTGCAAGACCTCTCAAAAATGGCCCATTTCTTTGTCAAAAAAAATTGCATGCATAGCCTTTAGGAGGCTTATAGAGTGCTCCTCAGGGCTGGGGGGGGGGACAAAAATGAGCAAAAAACCTGCCCATTTTTCACTCATTTCTGCCCTCCCCAGGCCCAGGAACACACTGGAAGCTGCCTAAAGGCTATGCATGGCCATTTTGCAAAGGGGTTGGGGTTTCGGGAGGCAAAAAATGCTGTATTCAGTGTATAAGACGCACCCAGACTTTCCCCCTACTTTTTGAGGGGAAAAGGTGCGTCATACTCTGAAAAATACGGTAAGTCAAAGGGGCAGAAACTCTCTCTGCTTGGAAAGTGAGATTTCCTCCCTTGATCTTTTCCGATAGATGAGACGGGCGCTCGTTCACCGCCGTTTTAGTGCCAACCTCTCACCGAGTGAACACATTTTTCTTGTCTTTTCAGAAACACCACCGGTGTCACCGAAGAAGCTCTGAAGGAATTCAGCATGATGTTTAAGTAAGTTTGCACTGGTTTTAGGGTGGTCGTCCTGCCCCCCCCCCCCCAAAAAAATACCCCCTTTGTCCCTGTTTTTAAATTTGAGCCACGTTTAAGTTGGGAAAAGGCAGTGGCTGTTATCACCGCTTCGCACCGCACCTGCACGCTCGCTTCATGTGCACCTTCCACGCATGCGCTTTGCTCACATGTGCAGCTTACCTGCATATGCACGGCTTGGAAAAAGTGGCTAGTTTTTCATAGAGCGGTGATGGCTGTCCATTTTGTCCTCGCGTGCCAAAATCACGAAATTCGTGTGTGCAATAGCACGCATGTACCCACACCGATAATGCAATGCTCCCTGCCCTCCTCCGCCTCCCACATAAAGTTTTTAGCAACTGGTTCTCTGCCCGGTTTCTGGGTAAGCATGGCCATGGTAAGCATGCCCTACTCAGCCTCCTGTACCACAGCGGGTGTGTGTGTGTTTTTGCCCTCTCCAGGCTCCAGAGGATGGAATCGGGCCCATTTCCGGAACTTCTGGGAGGCCCATTTTTCGCCCTCTTGGAGGTTCCGTGTGGGCCCTACACTTACGTGGCATCCAAAACAGGCTGCAATCCCACCCCACCCCTCCCACATGCGTGTCATGGAACTGAGCTGGGGGATGGTTCGCATGCCCGAAGAGTGGGCTCTGCATGTCACCTGCGGCACATGTGCCATAGTTTCACCATTGTAGGCATAGAGCCTGGGCAGGCCTTCGGCAGGTTGCCACAACCGGTTCAGCCAAACCAATCCGAACCGGCTGAATACTACCTCTGGTCATAGCTGACTGCAGCCTGGTTATACATGTGTCTAAATCCCAGCAAATCTTTTCTGAGTATTAAAGCAACATTTGGAGATTCTTTCGTAGCCTCTTTCGAAAAGGTTTAGCCCAGGGCTCTGGAGCCGCATGTGGCTCTTTCATCCCTCTGCTGCGGCTCCCTGCCACTCAAAATATGTGCCACACCCACCGGCATGCGATTTATTGAGCTTCTTGACCCCGGTAGGCCAGCCGTGGATAAATCCAAGGAAAGAACAGTTTCAAAAGAAAACAGAACGTTTAATTCAACTACTAGTGGAACTAGTCCAACTACTAATTCAATAGCTAGTTTTGTGGCCACTCAGGAAATAGTCAGGTTTTGTGGCTCCTGGTGTTTCCTTTTCTGTGGGAAACAAGTCTAAATGGCTCTTTGAGTGTTTAAGATTGCTGACTCCTAGTTTAGCCAATAAAAATAAAATAAATTCCTTCATCCTAGGCACTTCGACAAGGACAAGTCTGGCCGCCTGAACCACCAAGAATTTAAATCCTGCCTGCGCTCCCTGGGTTATGATCTGCCCATGGTGGAGGAGGGAGAACCGGATCCGGAATTCGAGGCTATTCTCGACACGGTTGATCCAAATCGGTAAGAGTTTTCAAGGACTCCCCATATGTTTTTCACTCCAAAGCTTTACGGTAGCGTTTCTCAACATGGCAACTTTAAGGCGGGCGGACTTCAACTCCCAGAATTCTCTCTCTGGTCATTTCCAACATTTCTTTCCCCCCCCCCCCTCTTTCCGGCAGGGATGGACACGTGTCTCTGCAGGAGTACATGGCCTTCATGATCAGCAGAGAGACGGAGAACGTGAAGTCCAGTGAGGAGATAGAGAGTGCTTTCCGCGCCCTCAGCTCGGAGGGCAAGCCCTACGTGACCAAGGAAGAACTCTACCAAGTAAGGGAAGGGGTTATTTGAGGGGGGGGCAGTAGGGGGGAATTTAGCATTTACTACAGGTAGTCTTTGACTTACAATTCACTTAGTGACTGTTGAGTTTGCAGATTTCATCCAGCACACAAGTAAATAATTCAGCAGGATTCATTTATAGAAGAAACTTGTTTATGTACAATAATATAAAACATGATGCATGTATACCATACCCATGCAGCTCTTGAAACGGAGTAGCAGAACCAGAACTAAATTCACAAGCACAGAAGTTGTAAGCACAGAACTTATATTTATACAGATCAGTTAAGCTAAGCCATGCCCAGGCTCCGAGCTGTGTGACATGGCTCACAACAGATCCCGATTCTTAGTCACCTGTTCTGACCCCCCTCGTTCCACACCAAAGCACTCCAAGCCAAAGATACTTTATGGAATTTATTAATAGACAGGTCCTTGGCAGCAAACCGGCACAGATAAGCCCTGGCAGCAATCCAGCCTGCCAAGCTCACAATACTGTTCTCCAACATTAGTTAATGTGTTGACTTCTGCAAAAGGGGCGTGTGCACAAGCATTCCTTTTATAGTCTGGAGAGGAGCCTAATTACCACCAGCTGAGTGCAATTACCTCCTGTAACTGCGTAATTGTTTCTTACACCTATTAGCTCTCAGGTNATAAAACCCCTTTTATTTAGGTTAAAGGGAATTCCCCTCCAGCAAAATCCCGACAAATAGTCTTTCAAGAGATTTCATAACTACAGACCTTTCTCAGGCTTGGAGAGCTGCCAGGCCTGATATCTTCCAAACTCCACGCTGTAGCAGCAATTACTTGGCAAGAAGTCAGGAACAGATCTTCACCCGAATGAATTGAACTCATGGTCTCCTGCAAACTCCACTCCCCTTTCGCTCCTCTTTGTTCCCTCTGGGAGGGACCATTCACTGTCCCCTGTGCCTTTACTCCCTTGTTCCTTAGCTGTTCCCTATGTCTGGCAGCTCTGCGCATGCGCACACTGGGAACAGGCTCCAGCTGTTCTTCTGCCCCACTGATGTCCAACTCCGAAGGCAGCTGATAACTGTTGGACGGTCCTGGCCCCCTCTCTGCCTCCGATGCAGAGACCTCGTCAGGGCCTTCCCCAGACTCCAGGACTGGCCCAGGTTCCTCCCCAACACTGTCTGAATCTGCCACCAGCTCTGCTGGCTGCTGGCGTGCCACAAATCTGACATCTTGAGGAGGAACCCATAGCACCTGATTTCAGGGTTCATTTTCTGTCTCTCCGTTGTCCCGACCAGTTTAATTGTCACTCTGCTACGGGGGTGGGTGGGTTTTGACTCTTTTAAGTGATTTATTCCCTTTCTGCCACCATGGAAATAAAGACAGTGTAGCTCAGGGGTGTCAAACTCGATTTCATGGAAGGCCGCATCAGGGTTGTGTATGACCTCAGGGGTCTGGGGTTGCAGTGGCAGGCATGGATAGAATAGAATAACAGAGTTGGAAAGGACCTTGGAGGTCTTCTAGTCCAACCCACTGCTGAGGCAGAAAAACCCTACACCACTTCAGATAAATGATTATTCAACATCTTAAAAACCTCCAGTGTTGGAGCATTCACAACTTCTGGAGGCAAGTAGTTCCACTGATTGATTGTTCTCACTGTCAGGAAATTTCTCTTTCCAAGTTGCTTCTCTCCTTGATCAGTTTCCACCCGTTGCTTCTTGTCCTGCCCTCAGGTGCTTTGGAGACTAGCTTGACTCCTTCTTCTTTGGGGCAGCCCCTCAAATACTGGAAGATTGCTATCATACCTCCACTTGTGTCCAGTGGGAGGAGGAGGGGCGCACCGCCTCTGATGGCCTGAGTGCTTCGCCGGTGAAAACGGGCTTCTGAGCTCCGTTTTCAGCTACAATGGCCTTCTGCAACCCTCTACCAGTAAAAACAGCTCAAGTGTCCACATGCGGCCCTTGTGAGCTCTTATTTTCACTGGTAGAGGCACTGGTAGAGGTACTGGGCTGGTTCTTTGCTGTTTCTATGACGGCCCTGCGGGCCAGATCTAAGCACCATATGGGCCGCATCCAAACCCAGGCCTTGAGTTTGACATCCCTGCCGTAGTTCCTTGGGCTTCTGATGTTAAGGAGTTGGTCCTCCCTCCCCAGTGAGGTCACGAAAATGAAACACACACACACACAGACACCGTTCTCCTCTGTTTTGCATTTTGGTCTGGGACCTGCTTCTGATGCCCCAAAAGTTTGG